CAATTTACCGATTTTACAATTTCCCAATTTTTCAATTTTTCGATTTTCAGTTTTACGTTTTTTTAATTTTTCTCTTTAATTTTACGATTTTTACATTTCGATTTTTTAATTCTTGATTTTTTGACATTTCTAAATTCTCAGTTTTGCGATTTTTCAGTTAATCTATGTTTTGATTTTCCTATTTCTTGACTTTCAACAGTTTCGATTTTCCAGTTCTTCAATTCTTCAATTTCGTATTTCAGGTTTTTGAGTTTCCAGTTTTTCAATTTTTTAAAGTTTCGATTTTCGACTTTACTTTTTCGATTTTTCGATTTCTCAATTTTTCAATTTTTTAATTTCTCAGTTTTTGGGTATTTCAGTTTTGGGATTTTTCAGTTTGTCTTTTATTTTTCAATTTTTCGATTTTTCGTGTCTGGGATTTTTCAGATTATTTAATATTCAATTTTTCGATTTTACAATTTCTCAATTTTTAAATTTTTCGATTTTCAATTTTTCATTTTTCAATTTTTCGATTTCCCAATTTTCCAATGTTTCAATTTTACGTTTTTACAATTTTTTTCCTGTTCAATTTTACGATTTTTATATATCTGTTCTTGCATTTTTCAAATTAGACTTTTATAATCTTCCAGTTTTTCGATTTTTAATTTCTTCAATTCTTCGATTTTTTAGGTTTTTGATTTTTCAATTTTTCAATTTTCCGATGCTTCAGTTTTACGTTTTTTCAATTTTTCTCTTCAATTTTACGATTTTTAAACATTTTTCAATATTTGACTTTTCTAAAGGCTCAGTTTTTCGATTTTTCAATTAATCGATGTTTTGATTTTCCTATTTCTTGACTTTCGACAGTTTCGATTTTCCAGTTCATCAATTCTTCAATTTTTCGGTTTTTCAGGTTTTTGAGTTTCCAGTTTTTCAATGTTTTAAGGTTTCGATTTTTCGATTTCTCAATTTTCAATTTTTCGATTACTCAATTTTCCGAATTCTCAATTTTCCCAAGTTTCAGTTTTACATTTTTTCAATTTTTCTCTTCAATTTTACGATTTTTAAACATTTCAAATTTTCAATTTTTCAATTTTTGACTTTTCTAAAGTCTTAATTTTTCGATTTTTCAATTAATCGATGTTTTGATTTTCCTGTTTCTTGACTTTCGACAGTTTCGATTTTTCAGTTCATCAATTCTTCAAGTTTTCGATTTTTCACGTTTTTGAGTTTCCAGTTTTTCAACTTCTTAAGGTTTCGATTTTTCGATTCCTCAATTTTCAATTTTTCGATTACTCAATTTTCCGACTTCTCAATTTTCCGAGGTTTCAGTTTTAAATTTTATCAATTTTTCTCTTCAATTTTACGATTTTTAAACATTTCGATTTTTCAATTTTTCAATTTTTGACTTTTCTAAAGTCTCAATTTTTCGATTTTTCAATTAATCGATGTTTTGATTTTCGTATTTCTTGACTTTCGACAGTTTCGATTTTCCAGTTCATCAATTCTTTCATTTTTCGTTTTTTCAGGTTTTAAGATTTCCAGTTTTTCAATTTTTTAAGGTTTCGATTTTTCGATTATTCAATTTTACGATTTCTCAATTTTCCGATGTTTCAGTTTTACATTTTTTCAATTTTTCTCTTCAATTTTACGATTTTTAACATTTCGATTTTTCAGTTTTTGACTTTTCTAAATTCCCGATTTTTTCAATTTTTCGATTACTCAATTTTCCGATTTCTCAATTTTCCGAAGTTTCAGTTTTAAATTTTATCATTTTTTCTCTTCAATTTTACGATTTTTAAACATTTCGATTTTTTAATTTTTGACTTTTCTAAATTAACGATTTTTAAAATTTTTCGATTACTCAATTTTCCGATTTCTCAATTTTCCGAAGTTTCAGTTTTAAATTTTATCAATTTTTCTCTTCAATTTTATGATTTTTAAACATTTCAATTTTTCAATTTTTCAATTTTTGACTTTTCTAAATTCTCGATTTTTCCATTTTTCAGTTAATCCATGTATTGATTTTCCCATTTTTTGACTTTCGACTGTTTCGATTTTCTTGTACTTCAATTCTTCACTTTTTCGATTTTCCAGGTTTGTGATTTTCAATTTTTCGACTTCACTTTTTTGATTTTTCGATTTCTCAATTTTTGGACATTTCAGTTTTGGAACTTTTCAATATTTCGATTCTTCGACTTTTAATTTTTGAGTTCAGGATTTTTCGCGATGTGTCGACTTTTTATCTTTTCGATTTTTCAATTTTTTGATTTTTAAATTTTTCAATTTTTCAATTTTTGATAATTATATATATTTTTTTGATTTCCCGATTTTTCATTTCAGTTCTTCTATATTTCAATTTTTCGAACTTTTCAAATATTTCGATTTCTTAATCTTTCGTTTTTTCAAATTCTCGAATTTTTTATTTCTCATTTTTAAAATTTTTGGGTTTCGATTTTTTATTATTGCCTATTTCGTTTTCTCAGGTTTTCCATTTTTCCATTTTTTCGATTGTGGCCGATTTCGGTTTCTCAATTTTTCGATTTTTTGACTTCATGACTTTTCGATTTTTCGATCTTTTGATCTTTCGATTTCTCAATATTTCAATTTTTGCAATGTTTCGAATTTTTAAATTTTTTGAGTTATCGAGATTTGGATGTTTCGATGTTTTGATTAGTTCATTTCTAGATTTATCAGTTTTTCAATTTTTAACTTTTTTTTAAATTTAGGAGTTTTGATTTCTCGATATTTCGGTTTTATGATTTTTTTTATGTTTCGATTTCCTGACATCTTGGTTTTTTGTTTTAAAAACATAATCTCCAATTAAATTAATGTGCGATTTATTTAATTGTATTTCTAATAGCTGATTTAATGATGTTTTTTGTCTGGTGTTGTTCAAGGCTCCAACCTGACACAACTTTCATTTCTTTTATTTGTTAACGATTTTAAGATATGCTGATGACTACCGCAACTTTAATTAGAACTTCATACACGCTTAATAAACTAATTTTAATCTACTACAGAAGAAAAGAAACCTTTTGAGCTTCCCCCTTCGTAAATTTATGCAAGACTTTTAGTTCTTGGACCCAGAACTTCCAGCTTTATGCACCCGAGTTATTAAGCATGCGGCCACAACAAGAGCAATTTCTCTCCAGACAGTTTTCCGAAAAATTACCATCTTGAACATGAATTTTAAACGGAGCATTTGAACCTTGAAGAGCACTTTTTAATTTTGTGCAGCGAAGATGATCATTTATTTAATTAACAATTCTGGGAGTAATTTCGCCAGACCTGAATACTTGTACTAAATTTAGCAAACGGAGACTCCTTGCTCGATTTTTTGCTAAGCAGCACGCCTACAAACGTGATTAAGCCCACCTACGGACAAACAAATTATTCAGACGAATTTTCTACAAACCTTACTTTTATTATTAAATATAAATCGTCGAGTTGAATGCTCTTCGATTTTCTCCGTTGGAAATGTTTTGCTTTACCAAATTCAGGTCTTGCTTAGAACGCACAAATAACTCAGTTTTTAATAATGAGAGTCACGATTATAAATTCGGAAAATCTCACAATTTATTTGAATTGGAATACTTTGACGGAGAACGCACGGAAAATGGAAAATTCTTAGGTTTAATTTCGCCAAGTTTATTACATTTAAAGTTGTTACAGCTTTTTGATGGTGACCTGAGTGGTAAAAACTTAATTCAAGTAATTTGTTGAAGAGATTTAGTTACTAGTAAATAATTACTGACAAGATCGAAACTGTATCATAACAATGAAGAACGTAACTACTGTGCCCAAAATTTTCAAAATTGTAGATCGATCCACCCAGAAAAACCTCGAAGCGGAAAATTTGGGCATATTGTCAGAAATCGTTCTACGGAATCTTTCCATTTTAATTTGGTCGTCTGGTATGAGTGGCCAAATGCTTCTTTGCAACTTCTGAGCACCTGTCAAAATTTGTTCACTTTCTTGCAACACTAAGTCACACATTATAAGTACTGCGGCAGTACCAACCTAAAAATACCGTACAGACGATTTTAATTCAAACATTATAAATACTTACGAAAACTATTAGAACCAAAATCGCGTCAACCAAAATTCTGCTCACTGCTTGCTTTTGAAAAATCGAGGAATTGGCAAACATGAAGTCGAAGTTGTTGAGTAGGTACAGGGTGGTGAAAGAAATGTTCAAAGTTAAAGGCCAGCCGAAGATGCTGTTGAATAGGTTGACGTTGTCGTTCAAAAAGCAGAAAGAATTTTCGATGTTGTCTAAACCGTGGAACAACTCCTTGTTGTTGTTTTTCAAACAAATCAAATTGTTGAATTTTTTTCCCACGTTGCGATATTCTAACAATAGGAAACTTATGATAAGACTTAAATAAACGTTGTAAGAGAACGCTTGAAAATACTGGAAATATTGAACGTTGTACTCTCCCAAATAATATTCTCCATTTGTCTTCACCCAAAACACGAAGACACATATTAAAGTAATCAGAATAAAAATTATAGCAATAATTCCAGCGATTGTGTTGCGTACGATTTTAGCTTGTGATTTATGCACAATAACGAGAAGATTTTCAATCAGTTGTTGCCATTTGGCGCATTTCCATAAAACCGTAGACAAAGCGGTGCACCAGTTGAAAATCAGCAAGTGAAAATCTATCAAAATATTCACTGTTAGTTTGATGTGACTGTGCAGTTGATATTTGGTTCTGTGGCTAAGCGATAGGACCACAAAAATAGTTATTAGTGTGACTAGCATAAATGTGTACAGTTTTTGTAGTAATGGGACGTCATTTTGGCTAAATGAGGGCGTAAGACCCAAGAGTTTTCCAATATGGAATAGCACTTTTACTGACTTCGGCGACATTTTGTGAAGTGTCGCTTAATACCGTCAAACATTACATTAATTTTTTGTCCTTTTAAGTGAATTAACTGAGCTTAATCAATAAATTCAATATTCGTTCTAAGCAAATAGTTTGTGGCTCTGTTTTTCGAATTACAGGCAATAAATGGAGGGAAAGAAAGGTACAGGTGGAGAAAGACGGAGGGAAAGAAAGACAGATGTGACGAAAAATATAAGAGAAGAAAGACAGAGGGGGAAAACGAAAAGAGCAGAAAGTAGGCTGGTGAGAAAAACAGGTGGAAAGAAGAGCAAAGAGAAGAAAGACAGATGCAGACATAACGGGAATGGAGAAAGGCAGAGGAGAAAAGACACATCAGAGGCGGAGGAAGACAGAAAGGAGAGACAGAAAGAGACGAAAAAAATAACAAAAAATGTTAAAGATAGACGGAGGAGCAGTGGGGGCAATTTTGTTTTTACTTTATTTTGCCCGTCTTCTGGTGTTCACCCTCTTATGTGTATTTTTCCCCTTTTTTCTCCTCCCTGTCTTTACCTTTTTTGTGCGATTTCTCTCCTTATCTGTCTTTTTTGTCTTTTGTGTTCCTTTATGTCTTTTTTCCCTCTATCTCTCTATACCCCTGCTTCATTCTTCTCATCTGCGTTTCTCACCAGTCCCATTTTCCACTCTTCTTTCTCTTCCTCTGTCTTTCCCTAGCCATATCTTTCTCCCCTTCTGTTTTTCCTCACATCTGTCTTTCTCTCCTCTGTTATTTTTCCCATCTGGCTTTTCCCCCTTCCGTCTTTCCCTTTGATTTACTCTCCTTTCGTTTTCTGCACTTGTATCTTTTGTCCTCTTCATATTTCTCCACTTCTGTCGTTCTAATCCTCTATCTTTTTGCAAGTCTGTCTGCTCCTTTTCTTAAGACAAAACATTCTCTCTATTTTCTCACTCTGCGTTTCTCTCTTTCTCCTTGTCTATCTTTCTTCGTTTTAGTGTTCCTCTGTCTTCTTTTTTTCTGTTTTTCTTCAGCCTTGCTTATCTCTTCATCCGTCTGTCTTCACTTTATTCTTCCTCATTACTGTTTTTCTCACCAGTCTTCTTTCTCCTTTTTTTTTCCCCACTCTGTCTCCCTTTTCTTCCCTTCTGTTGTTCGACACATTTGTCTGTCTCTTCCCCGTTATTTATCACATCTAAATTTTTTCTCTTCTGTCTTCCGCCTCCACTTTCTCACCCCCCTTCTTTACATTTTTCTCATTTCTGTTCATCTGACGCTCTATTTTCCTCTCGCTGTCTTTCTCCGCATCTTAAAAACCGTCAAAATATATTTTTTGCCTTCCCAAGATACAAGATTTTGTTATTTTCTATCAGTTTATTCTTTCGTTTCTTCCTCTTTCTGTTCTTTCCGTCTTATCTCCCTCTGATTTCCTCCTTTTCTGTTTTATCACACCTTTGCCTTTTTCTTCTTCTTTCTTTCTATCTGTAGTTTTCACCCTGTTCTTCTTCTCTTTTGTGGTCTTCCCTGTTTCTCTTACTTCTCCTTCTTATGCCCTCCTCTACCTCTGTTTGTGTCTCCTCTTTCTGTGAATGATCCCATCTTTCCCCCGCTCTGTCTGTATTTCTTCTCTTTCGTGTTTCGCTATGTCCTTTTCCCTCTGTCTATCTCCACTCCAGCTTCATTTTCCCCATCTGTGCTTCACACCAGTTTCCTCTCTCCTCTTTTCTTCCTCATTCTCTCTATTCCACTTCTGTAGTCTTCTCTTCTCTTTTTCGTCACATTTGTCTAACTGTCTTCCGTTATTTTCCCCATCTACCTTTTGTCTCTTCTGTCTTTCCCCTCCCCCTTTTCCTTCCTTTATTTTTCTCCACTTGTACCTTTCTTAACTTCTGCTTATTCCCCCTCTATCTCTCCATCTTTCCCCACTTCAGTTTCTCTCACTTTCTATTTTTCTCCCAGTCTGTCTTCTCCTTGTATTTCTCTCCATCTTAAGAACCCTGAAGATAAAAGAACAAAAATAGAAGGAAAGAGAGGCATAGGTGGAGAAAAAAGGCAGAGAGAAAAGGGGAGAACGAAAAAAAGACAGATGGTGAGAATCTCAATGGGAAAGAAACTAGAAGAACAAACAAAGAGAAAAACGGAGAGAAATGCACAGAGGAAAACAAACAGAAGTAAAGGACAACAGAAGAAGGAAAGACAGTGAAGAGAAAGAGGAATGGAACATTGAGGTGTGAAAAGACAAAAAAGAAACAAATCAAAGGGGATGCAAAATAAGAAGAAAAGATGGAGAAAGAGAGGAAAGAATAAACTGTTAGAAAAAAACAAAGAAATATTAAGATAGACAAAGGAACAGCGGGGGCACGATTTTTTTAATATTGAGGGGACAATGGAGTTGCCTTGAGAGCCCTTAAGATGGGAAGAAAGACGGCTAGAAGACAGATTGGGAAGGAAAGGTGAAGAAAAACAGGGAAAAATGACACAAAGCGAAACACAAAAAAGAAGAAAAACGGGGAAAAGTACAGAGAAGAAGACAAACAAAAGTGGGAAAGAACGAAAGAGGGAAAGACGAGAGGGAGAAAGATGGGAAAAAATACACAGAGCAAAATAGGGAATAGAAAGACCGGATAAAAGATAAAGGGGAAGATTTCCAGAAATGGGGGAAATAGAAGGAAAGAGAGGCACAGTGAGGAAAGACAAGAGCAGCAAAAAGAGTGTTGAGAAAGACAGATGGAGAAACAAGTATAGAGAAAAAGGAACAAAAAAGAAAGTAAACATATAGCGGAACACATAAATAAAAGACCGGGAAATACGGGGAGAGACACAAAGGTAGGGAAAGACAGTGGAGAGAGAGAAAAAAGGATAAAGGAGACTGGTGAGGAAGACAGACGGGAAGAAGAGCAAAAACGAGAGAAACAGACAGAGGGATAAACAGAGGTGGAGAAAGACAGAGGGGAAAGTGACACAGGGCGAAACACAATAAAGAAAAATGACGGGGAGAAGTATAGAGACGAAGAACGGAATGGGGAAAGACGGAAGAAAAATACACAGGGAAGAACACCAAGAAGGAGGAAAACACAGAGGGAGAAAGACTTGATGGAAATGACAGTTGGAAAGAAAGTGATGGGGAAAGAGAGAAAAGAAGACAGTCAGAGAGGTAAAAAATGGAAATAATGTAAAGAGAGAGAGACGAAGAAATAAACTGATATAAAAGAAAAAAACAGTTTATAATGTGTAAGTAGAGTAATACAGGGAATAGGCAGACCGGGAGAAAAACGGAAGGGAAGGAAGGGACCGGTGAAGAAGGAGAGAAAGAGTCAATTGGAGGGGTATAACAGAAGTGAATAAAGGTAAGTGCGTGGAAAGGAAGAGAGAAGAAGAGAAAGAAAAGAGTGTAGAAAAAGACGGGTGGTGAGAATATCAAAGGCGAGCAAGGTAGAAGAACAAACAAACAGAAAAGCGGAGAGAAATGTAGAGGGAAAAACAAACAGAAGTAAAAACAACAGAAGAAGGAAAGACAGTGGAGAGAAAGATATTGTGGGAACAACAGAAGAGAAAGAGAAATAGAAGACTGAGGTGCCATAAGACAAAAAAGAAGAAATTCAAAGGGGAAGCAAAATAGGGAGAAGAGAAGGAGAAAAGAATAAACTGTTAGGAAATAACAAAAAAGTATAAAGATAAATAAAAGAACATCGGGGGCAGGATTTTTTTGATATTGAGGGGAAAATGGAGTTGTCTTGAGAGCCCTTAAGATGGGAAGAAAGACAAGATAGCGGGAGAAGGAGAGAAAAGGAAACGGAAAGACGGAGGACACAAAAGACAGATGGAAACAATAACAGAGGAGAGAGAGGCAAATGGGGAGAATAGCAAAGAGGAGAAAAACAGATGGAGGGATAATCAGAGGTGAAGAGAAACAGGGGAAAATGACACAAAGCGAAACACAAAAGAGAAGAAAGACGGGAAAAAGTACAGAGAAGAAAATAAGCAAAGTGGGGAAGAACGGAAGCGGGAAAGACGGAAGGGAGAAATATGGGAAAAAATACAGAGGTGCAGAAAGACAGAAAAGGAGAAAGTCAGAGTGGCGAAAAAGGGAAAGGAGAGAGGGAGAGACGAAAAAAACTTAAAGAAAAGAAAAAATTACTACTTATGTTGAAGAACAAAAACGGCAGTAGAAAGACTGGGAAAAATATGGAGGGGAAGAAGGACAGAATTGGGACGAAATAGAAGATACAGGAACGATAGAAGGGAAGTCAGTCACAGGTGGCGAAAGAAAGAGAAGGGAGCAAAGACAAGTGTAGAAAAAGACAAATGGAGAAACAAACAGGGAGAACGAGGGACAGAAGGTAAAGTAAACACATAGCGAAACGAAGGGTAAAAACAGGGAAAACAGAAAGAGGGATAATCAGAAGTGGAGAAAAACAGAGGGGAAAATGACAGCCAAATACAATAAAAAATGACGAAGAGAAGTACACAGAGAAAGACAAACAGAAGTGAGGAAGAACGGAGGGGGGAAAGACATGATGGAAACGACACACACAGAGAAAGTGGATCGGAAAGACAAAGATGGGGAAAGACAGAAAAGGAAAACGTCAGAGACGGAAAAAATGGAAAAAAGGAAGTGAGAAAGAGAGAGACGAACAAATAAACTGATAGAAAAGAAAAAGCAGTTTATAATATGGGGAGTAATACAGGGAAGAGACACACCGGGAGAAAAATAGAAACGTAGAAAGGGACAGGTGGAGAAAAAGGGAAAGAAAGAGTCAAGTGGAGGGGTAAAACAAAAATAAATGAAAGAATGGCCGTGGAAAGATCGAGAGAAGAAGAGAAAGAAAAATGTGCAGAAAAAGATAGATGGTGAGAATATCAAAGGGGGGAAAGTAGCAGAACAAACAAAGCGAAAAACGGAGAAAAATGCAGAGGGGAAAACAAACAGAAGTAAATACAAAAGAAGAAGGCAGGACAGTTGAGAGAAAGATATAGTGGAAACGAAAAAAGAAGGAATTCAAAGAAGAGGAGGAAAAAGAGAAGAAAGAATAAACTGTTAGAAAATAACAAAAAAGATAGACAAAGGAACTGCGGGGGCTGGATTTTTTTGATATTGAAGAGACTATGGAATTGTCTTGAGAGCCCTTAAGACGGGAAGAAAGACAACGGGAAGACAGATTGGGAGAAAGATAGCGGGAAGAAGAAGATAAAAGGGAACGGGAAGACGGAAGTGGCAAAAATCAGATGGAAACAAAAGCAGAGGAGAGAGAGAGGCCAATGGGGAGAAGAGCAAAGAGGAGAAAAACAGATGGAGGTATAATCAGAGGTGAAGAAAAATAGCGGAAAATAACACAGAGCGAAACACAAAAGAGAAGAAAGACGGGAAAAATTATAGAGAAGAAGATAACCGAAGTGGGAAAGAACGAAAGAAGGAAAGACAGGAGAGAGAAAGACAGAAAAGGAGAAAGTCAGAGAGGGGAAACGCCAGGGAAGAGAGAGACGAAAAAGGCTTATAGAAAATCAAAATGCAGTACTTATGTTGGAGAACAAAAGAGGCACTAAAAAGACCGGGAAAAACATAGAGGGGAAGAAGAGTAGAAATGGGACGAAATAGAAGATATAGGACGAATAGAAGGGAAGAGAGTTAAAGCGGTGACGAAAGAAAGAGAAAGAGAGGAAAGATGCAGAAAAAGACAGACGGAGGAACAAGTATAGAGAACGAGGAACAGAAGGGAAAGTAAAGACACAACGAAACGAAGGACAAAAACACGAAAAACAGAGAGGGATAAACAGCGGTGGCGAAAAACAGGGGGATAAATGACAAAGCAAAACACAATAAAGAAAGTAGACGGGGGGAAGGATAGAGAGAAAGACAAACGGAAGTGAGGAAGAACGGAAGGGGGAAAGACATAATGGAAACGAAAGATAGAGAGAAAGTGGATTGGAAAGACAGAGATGGGGTAAAAGAGAAAAGGAGAAAGTCAATAACGGAAAAAATGGAAAAAGGAAGAGAGGACGAGACGAACAAATAAACTGATGGAAACGGAAAAAGAGAAACAAAGGAGTGCAGAAAAAGACGGATGGTGAGAATATCAAAGGAGAGGAAAGTAGAAGAACAAACCAAGAGAAAAACGGAGAGAAGTGCAAAGAAAAAAACAAACAGAAGTAAAGAACAACAGAAGAAGGAAAGACAGTTGAGAGAAAGATATGTTGGAAACGAGAAAAGAAGAAATTCAAAGAAGAGAACGAGAAAGAGAAGAAAGAATAAACTGTTAGAAAATAACAAAAAAGATAGACAAAGGAAGAGAGGGGGCAGGATTTTTTTGATATTGAGAGGGCAGTGGAGCTGTCTTGTGAGTCCTTAAGATGGGAAGAGAGGTAGCCAGAAAATAGATTGGGAGAAAGATAGCAGGAAGACGGAGAGAAAGGGGAAAGGGAGGAGAGAGGGGGCAAAAGACAGATGGGAACAATAGAATAAAAGCAGGAGAATGACACAAAGCAAAACACAAACGAGAAGAAAAATAAATATGGGAAAAATACATGGAGGTGTAGAAAGACAGAAAAGGAGAAAGTCAGAGAGGGGAAAAAAGGAAAGGAGGGAGAGAGACGAAAAAACTTATAGAAAAGAAAAAAGAAGTGCTTATGGTGGGGAGCCAAGTAGGAAGTAGAAAGACCGGGAAAAATAGAGAAGAAGAAGAGCAGAGGTCGGACGAAATAGAAGATATAGGAACAATAGAGGGAAGAGAGGCACAGGTGGCGAAATAAAGACAAGAGAAGAAAAAAGAGTGTAGAAAAAGACAATTGGAAAGAAAGAGGAACAGAAGGGAAAGTAAACGCAGCGAAAAACATAAATAAAGGACCGGGAAATACGGAGAGAGAAACAAAGGTAGGAAAAGACACAGGGGAGAAAGGAGACTCGTCCGAAAGACAGATGGGAAGAAGGGCAAAAACGAGAAAAACAGATAGAGGGAAGAAGAGAAAAGGAGAAAGAGAAGGAAAAAATGGAAAGAAAGAAGAGGGAAAGAAAAAAGCAGTTTATAATATGGGGAGTAGACAGACCGGGAAAAAACAGAAGGGAAGAAAGCGAGGGTGGAGAAAGAGAGAGAGAAAGAGTCAAGTGGAGGAGTAAAACAGAAGAGAATAAAGGCAAGAGCGCGGAAAGAAAAAAAGAAAGAAAGACAGAAAAGGAGAGAGAAAAGAGTGCAGAAAACGACAGATAGGGAGACAAGCAGAGAGGAAAAGAAACAGATGAGTAAATAAACAAAGAGTGAAACGCATAAGAGAAGGACCGAGGGAAATATGGAGAGAGAAACAACTAAAGGTGGCGAAAGACAGAGGACAAAAACGCTGAGAAAACGAAGAACGTTTCCATTAAAGGGAGTGGAAAATACTCAGAGGCGGAGAAACACAGAAGGGTAAATATAAAAGATAATCCATAGCCAGTGCCGCGTAATATCGACAACCATTATATTAATTGTTTATCCTTTTAAGTAAATTAAGCATTCGTTATTATAAGTAAATAATACGCTGTTTTTCCAAACACTTAATACATTATATGTGTGGGTCTTGTGTCGATTTTCTACTCCGTTTGAGTAACAGTAATTCAGCAGATTTTACTAATTATTGTGTGATTATGGTTAAAAAAAGTAAGCGTAGTTTCCACCTGCGTGAATATTTTAGAAAAGGTGCATTAAATTAAATGTTCATTTTTGGAGTAAAGCCCATTTGCAACTAATCCCGTTGTTCCGAGTTTAAGACCGCTATTAATCTCGGTGATATTAATCTCTACATATTTTACAACATTCCAATTATAAATCAAGGAAGAGTTTGTAAACTGAACCTCGAAATATAATCCTTTTATTCGCAAGTGTGAACATAAACAGCATCAGCAGTCCGCCCACGATGAAATTTTCTTTTCGCCAATTTGCCATAACAAGGGTCCGGACTTAACCCAGAACGCACCTTCGAAATTCCCATTAATTGTGAATTATTTTCCCTCAACATTTATCACTTTATCAAAAAGTCGAGATGCGCGAACCGGATAAACCTACAACCGCACAATGAAATCACATCAACGTCACGAGCAGAAGCCAACTTTTAACCACAACTTAATCCCGAAGAAAGCCCCACACGACCCAGGCCTATCTGAAAATATTATCTGGCGGCGTCAAT